CTCTCTCTCGCTCGCTCTCTCTCTCGCTCTCGTTCTCTCCCCCTCGCCCTTGTGCGTATTTCTCCGTGATGTCAAAAAGCGGCCTTCTTTACCAGCAGGCATCTGAAATTTCGTTCTCCCTTGAACTCGTCAGTTTTCCGTGCTTCGTGAGAGCGGCGTGTTTAACGACAGCAACAACAACAAAAACGACGCTGTCAACAATATCGGCGGCAACAAAAACACTCGCCTCCTGCTCCCGCTCCTCCTCTTCCACGATGATGGTTCGGCAGCGAAGGATGGTTTCGGAGCTGTACGAGAATACGCCTCCCCAGGCGGACGGCCGTAATGGTCCGGATAGCACCTGGAGGTAGGAGCCGATCTGAACAAAAAAAAAAGCACATACGCCCGCGCGCGACAAGGTCCACAAAAAACAGACAAGCAACGGTGCACGCGAACGTAAAAAAAAAACAAGCCAAAAGCAGCGAAACATAGCACATGTCGTGTGCAAATAACACCTGACATNCAAAAACACTCGCCTCCTGCTCCCGCTCCTCCTCTTCCACGATGATGGTTCGGCAGCGAAGGATGGTTTCGGAGCTGTACGAGAATACGCCTCCCCAGGCGGACGGCCGTAATGGTCCGGATAGCACCTGGAGGTAGGAGCCGATCTGAACAAAAAAAAAAGCACATACGCCCGCGCGCGACAAGGTCCACAAAAAACAGACAAGCAACGGTGCACGCGAACGTAAAAAAAAAACAAGCCAAAAGCAGCGAAACATAGCACATGTCGTGTGCAAATAACACCTGACATCCACGCGACGCATTAAAAGAAAAAAATACAAAACAAAACAAAGGAAACCGAGACCAAAAAGCCCCAAGCCACCACTGATCCGTCAACGGATTTGGCAACGAGTAGCACCCAGAAAAGCTTCACTCCCGTCCGCTCTCTCATCGACGGAGAATGCATCAACAATGACTGGAGCCAAGAACGTCTTCTCGAGCCCTACAGGTACGGATCTCTTCCGAAGATACCCTACTCCACCCCCTCCCTAGGGACCTATTAACTCCGTGAACTTGTCCATACAGTCGACGGTCCTCAATATCGGTGCCCTCACAAGCGAGATGCCCTCTATGACGGCAACAAAATCCCTTGGCACGAGTGCATCCCTTAAAAGCGGCACAAGTACCGCTTTTGAGGGATGAATCCCTTATAGGGGCACAACGCCGCTGTAAAGGACAACACAATGCAAGACAAAGGTATTGGAGCATCAAAGGTCATAAGGATTCAGGCGTGGCGGGGCTGACGGCTGCACTCGATGTGCTCAGCATGGGCGTGAAGGAGGTAGCGATGGGGGGAGGTGGTGAACAAGACCCAGAGATGTGCGAGGTACTCTCGTCCCTCGGCATCGTCCCGGGTAAGTAAGCCCCACCCCGACAAGTCATCTAGGAGGTCGAGTCTTGGGTGCAGCTAGAGGTGCAGGATTAGGTGGTTAAGGCTGTCGCCGCGGACGCGGAGGCGGCGCTCATAAACAGATAAATCGCAACTTTACCGAGGACTCTGATTCCGACGAGGAGCTGAACGACACGGGGGAGGTTGAGAGTGCTGGTGGTACATAGGAAGTTGATGGCGCCGCCGCCGTACTCGGATCTGTCGGAAAATTTCGGTCGACTTGGGCAGTACGCACCGTCTGCTGGAAATGACGATGCTGAGCATCTTCTTCGCAAGGCCAAGACGTCTTTCCTCGCAGCCCAGGCCGCTAAACTAGTCCAGCAGTCAGACATGAGAATGCTTCTTGAATCATAGGCGCGTCGGTCAAGCACAGCAGCTGCTCTTTTTTTTTCTTTTTGAGTACGGTGTGCGTGGCTCTGTTTGAATGCGGTTCATTGATTTAACGTTCTATCGCTCTGTTTTCTGTATGGTTCGTTGCTAAGCTACGATATGACTAGTGGGGGCGTACTGTGGTGCTGTACAGTACACACAGCAGTACTGCACGATGGTGAGCA